TAGGACGATTAGGTAAGGAATTAGAAAAGAACTCTATTCTTAGGTCTTTTAATAAAAATAAGACTAAAACTTATTTGAATTATTTAATATTTAAATTAATTCTTTTATACTTATTTATTAAGGGTTTTAGCTTTAATTTATACTTGCTTCTTACGTAATAATACTTATAGAATTTAAATTAAAATTAATGGGAATTTATACCCTATTTTAAGATATAAGCGAACCTAATTTAATCTCTCTTTACAGGTAACTCCCCATACGCGGTGCCCGATTTAGTCCCTCTTTATAGGTAACTCCGTGTGCGCGTTATATAAATATACCTATACAAGTACTATAATCTAGTAAATAATCTTTAATCGCTAAATATATAGCTATAAATTTTAAGGAGTTACTAACATATAATGAATATTATTTCTTACAAGTAGTAGAACATAGTAATAGGTATTATAGCAGAGAATTCAAGGTTAAATTAGTCTAGTTTATAAGCGAATAAACGAGTTTTAGTCTTATAAAAGAAGATATTAGGAAAATCTAAGAAGAGGGGAAACTATAACCAAAAACACGGTTACACAATCATAAAGAAAAAAACTGTAATTTATTTTTATCTGGTCTATTATAGTTAGGCTCAAAGAGTTGACGTCTTTTAATTTAGACATATAAACACGCCAATAAAACTATAGTCTCGCACCTTATGCTTTCCATGTCTGATCAAGCTATATTCGCAAAAGCGTAGTGGAGAATATCCAGATCCATATCTTCGTCTATAATGTCAATCGTCGTCCCCTCTTCCTCGCTTCTCTTGGAGGCTGTACTATATGGCGTCTTGACAAGCACAGTCGAGTGCATGAGTGATGAGTCGGGGTTGCGTACGGGAAAGTCCCAGCTCCAGTCCTCGTGTTGTAGATATTGAACGGGATCCTGTGCCTGAGGGTCGTATTGGAACACACGATTCTGATAGAGCCACTTTGACATGGGGACTGCGTGGCCTTCCTCGGGCAGAGCAGTCTCATTGAGCTTGTAAAATTTGGGTCCCTCTTGACTCGACGCCCAGGATCCTAGTTTCCTATCAATGAGCTCCATGGCAATTTTCCCCAGGAAGTGCGCATAATCGGGATTGCCATTCTCACCGCGATACATACGACAATTGGTGTGCCACAAAGGCCAAGCCAGCGGGCGGAGGAGTGTGAGCTCATAGTCGGACACTCTACCAAGATCTCCGTCTTCCATTTTCTGTATACTCTCATCCTGCTCACGTTCACAGTATTTGCCAATGTCGGCAAGACTATTCCGAGGCACCTGCCAGGGCAGAGTGCCAATCACGTCTCGGTCTCCCGTTGTGTGGTCCCATATGCATGCCAAGTCAACTGCGGGAATGACTGGCGACTTGCCGTAGAATGTTGCTTGGTATGTCCAGCTTTGCAAGTCGCATGTGTGGTCCGCGGGGCAGGTGACCTTTCTGCCCTTCTTGACTGCAACCGATTCTTGATCACTATTCTCAGTGGTATCTGATGTAGACGAGCCCTCGGTATGCGTCGTTTCCGTCGACCATTTGCCAGCGAGACCAAAGCTCAGCCATTCCCCAAGCGGGCCAAGGGAGAACTCGGCGCCTGCCTGCCACGATGACTGCTTACTCTTCGACTCCGAGGCTCCATACGTGGCTCCTTTAAAGGTGGTCTTGGTCTTGGTTGTGGTTTCTTCCGTCGTGTACACCTGACCGCCTGACAAGGATTTGATGGGATTGGCCAGAATTCGAACTTTTATCGCTTTAGTACTGTCAAGCGCGCGCTGCGGATGGTGTGAAAAAAAGCAGTCGTTTTCCTTGTGTTTCTTGTTGAAATATAGACCACTGCTGGGCCACTTCGCCCTGACGTCCTGCATGAGCCTCTTGACTCTTGCAAGCCTGACCTTGCCCTCCCTTGACTCGGCAGCAGCCGTCCCGAAATATTCCGGGGTAATCACAAGCCTCTCGTCCCTCGTGTGCACGCGTGGCTCATTGTCCAGGTCGGTAGGCGCGGGCGTACTCATGCCATGGACAAGCCAGCCCTGGGCGCCTATAGCGAGCAGGAGAGACAGAAGAATCTCCCTAGCAATCATCTTGGCACCAAAAGTCTATGGGAGGACGGTGGATGCCTGAAGGAATTGACGGAGTGCAATCTGCGGCCCGAAGCAATATATCGGGATCAAGGAGGTAAATAAACGAGCCAATACGTGGATAAGTAGCTAGGCAAGGAATTGATAGTGGTTACTGGACTGTGCAACAACCAGAGACAACCGCGTGAATATATATACTTGTGAAGCTGCTGCAGATGCTGCAGGCAGACGAGGCGATAATACTCCCATTACTGATATAACACAGGGTTCAGTTCTGAATACGAAGAATTGCTTGCAATCGTGACGCATTTGTCCCCACCACTTGAATCAAGTTTCGACTATAATTGATGATGCATGCGGCACCAAGCAGGCTCCAGTAATACTACGGTGAAGTATTCTCTTTTCACACCTTCCGTGGCCTTTCAAAGCACAAACGATAAACCGTGTTCCCTCAAGCGAATATCAAATTCGCCTTGTAAGCTTCATTTCATCCTCATTAACCAAATAAAGCTCATCAAGGAGGTTTCTGCACAGTTGTCCGTCGCCGGTATGTGTGTGTGTATACCCAGCGAATGGCACGCCAGGACACGAGAGAAAGCCTATGTTTACTATATCTTTGCATATATATCGAGTCCAGTTCTCCCCTCTTTGCTTCAATAATACCCCACTCATCATCAGTTTTCATTTAAGCGAAGCCAAAATTCACATGTGCAATATCAGAGCAGTAATAGCTGCCCTCGAGGGCTAACGTGTGCAAAGTAACGCCTTGTCATGTATTCACGGCGCCGGGAAGATGATACGATATGCTATAATATGCCATGCTATAATGTGCCATGCCAAGTTCATCACAATGGCTTCTTCCGCTGTAGGGATGGACCGCGCTCTACAGTCCAGTCGGTCAACATGTCATCGACCCAGACTCAGAGGTGCCATCATCTCCTTCCCACCGCTGGCCTTCGGACAGTGAGCTATTTAAATTGACAAGGGTATATAGAAACGATATCATCTGCTGGTTCTAATGGCGACTTCTTTGACAGTGCTTATCCAGACATCACGCGATATATGCCGCACTTGTTGTGCAGCCGCATTGCAACCCGATGATTAACCCAGGATATCCCTGACAACCCATCATCAACGCATGATGCCGAGGGCCCCTTGCAGTGCACCTAGTATCTCTTTAGCTGCGGAATGGCTTGTGGAGACTCGCTTATGTAGGAAAATTGTGAGGGAGAGAGACCTTAGTGTCTGGTCTTGTATTTTTGTGTGTCAATATCTTGTGGAATATGTGGGCGGCGGCTTGGCAATCACTACACACGAGCTACGCCGAGCCGGGCTCACCGGTCTACCGTCACCGTCTAGCATGGAAGTTTTTATTGTCTGATGCCAAAACAATGGTGCCAGTTCACCGAGGCAATGTATCATTACGGTGTAAGCTGGGTGCTGCACATGCACGAGGGTCCAGCTCCTCTGGAGGTCCATGAGTATATATGTTGTCAGTTTCCCTCGGGTAGTCTTTGATTTCTCACCAAGCATCGTTGCTCGTTTCTTCACTCACCAGAACTCATCACCTGTTTAACCCTGTTTTCTTCTTTTTATTCGCCATCGCTGGGCCTCTACAGCGCACTAGGTACTGTCTCTCCCGTGACATATACATAGCAGCACCGCTCAGTACATGTCTCCGACATGATCCCGCAGCGGTATCTCCTCTCCCTCCTACTCTCCCCGGGCATGCACGGTCTGGTCGTCCGGGCGCGTCCTGATGACGGAAGCGATGTCGCGGGGACCAATCTCAATATCCTCGAGGAGTCCTTGTCGGAAGAGGCTGGCACAACCATTGAAGGCAGGGAAAGGATTGCTCAAATCAAAGGGTTAATGCAGCAAGTTGCGAGCCGAACCCTACCTAACGCGAATATATATTGGGACGAGAATCGCGTAGGATACGAAGGATGCTTCTACGCGCGGTATCCCATGCGCCAGGCTGATGTTGACCAAGTCGGTGTTCGAATCAAAGCCAAGGACATTGAGGACTTGGACAGCGGAGATGAGTATACAGTTGAGCAAATCATCACCACAGTCAAGAGTGCAATCAAGACTCAAAAGTTTGATACCTCTATGTCCGACCAAGAGAAGGAATCGTGGGAAGCGGGCGGTTCATTCAAACTTGGCCCCCTCAAGGGACTCAGTCTCGGGGGCAATCTCAAATACAGCAGCGCCGATACCACCGTCAGAGGTACGACCACCTCCTTCACCAATAAGGGAACCGATGAAGACAAAATTGCACAGACGTCGCGCGATGTATTCAAATGCGAAACAGGCCATTATTGCCGACTGCAATTGTGGACATATGAAACGACATTCAAAGGATCTGCACCTCTGGTCCCAATGATGAGAACTACATGCGTTCTTGAGAACCACGCATACACCATGGACAGGGATCGCAACTCTACAGGGAAAATATATGGAGGAGTGATGGAGCAGATTCGGAGACGAGGCGCCTGGTGGTACACGGGGAAGGCAGGCAGATATCAAGACTGGATTCTTCGCCTCCCGGAGAAGATTAAAGTGTACAAGCCGCGGTCATCCCTCGGCGATGCTGTCTATTTCTTGTACTGGGGCTTCCCCTCAACCTGTTACGCATCCCATATCGTGGGCTGCGGGGTTGCTGGTGAAGATGTTGGCATGGCCAGTCTTCATGGCAACATGCCTTGGTGGGACCAAGAGCACTCCAAGTACTACAGAGTTACACAGGAGGATGGCTCGCCAGCAACGCTGCCCAATGTACCGATTCCGGTGGATGACACCATGCCAAATTGGCCGCGGCAGATCAGTCGGTATGATTTCGGCCCCGAGGTCGAGCGTGACTACCTGCTACCCGTCGGTCCCCAGCATGATGGCGGCAACATGCCGAGCTGGCAGTGGGCGAGCCGCGATGCTGGAAATCTCGACGGTGTCTACAATGTCGAATTCTTGCAAAAGAAGCCATGGAGCATGAGCTTTCCCACGCGCAATCCGGATGGGAAAATCATGTCAACTGTCGTAATTGTCAAGACGCCTTATGATGATGCAAATGAGAAGAGGGCAGAACGCAACACGACGTCAACAATTCAGGTTCTCCAAGAGAATATCGACCTTGATTTTGCAGACTATCTCTAGCAAGATAAATCCGGAGCCTAGCAAGTAAGACTAATATTAGTTTAAGCTACTTTTAGGAAATAGATATTAGTATAGATCCTAGATATTAACATCCTGAAAAAAGATTCAACTACTTTGTGTAAAGAAGTATTGTATAGTCTTTTAGCATAAAGAATTTTTGCTCATATTATTATAGTTGACTAATAAAGTTAAGCCTTCGTAAGTAGCAGGTTTATATCCATTTTTACACACTAGATAGTTGCCTTTTCACACCCTCGTCATCGGGCTGGTAATCTGGAGAGCTCTGGCAGTCCTGTAACGACGAGTACGGGCAATCGGCTTTAATAAGCATAGCCCATCGCAATTCGGCTATTGACAATGGCCACGTGGCAAAACAGATCCATTTGATGAGCCATAACGAGTCCGACTCATTCCTTCGATAAGCTCGCAGTATAAGGCATCAAGCTCTTGGGGAACCGAAGGGATGGCGGCCTCAATTCCTTTCAATGCCACACCCTCCAGGCTACGTCTAATACCTGATTCACTATCAGTGAAGCCCATAGGAAAACGCCGTTGGCGCGTTTGGTGATCAAGTCCGAAATGGTTGGTGATATCCATGAAAGCTGATGTTTCACGAAATTGGATATGTCCGTTTCGTTTTCCTCCTCCACGCATATCTCGAACACACTATCCAAGGCCAAAATAGGGCAAGGGCGACATGTGAAGCAGACGCGGAACGGCCTGGAACCGGTGGACTGGAGACTGTCAAGTAAGAACTTGAATCTTTGGCCTAGTTTATTCGCATCCTCTTTACCACATTCATCTAGCGCGTCGACGAATAGACAGAGTGGTCAAAGCTTTAACGCTTTTAGAAGCGAGGACTCAAAGAAGCCGCGTAACTCCTTGGGATGCCACTGCCACTTTTCGCCTGCCCGACCAACAGTCTCGCACCGCTGTTTGAAAGTGTCGACAACATCTGACAGTGCGTCAGGCATCTCGCGGAGCTGGTAAAGGAGCGACCTATAGAAGCCTAGTGGCATTTTCTGTAGTTCTGTACCACGGCCGTGGAAGAAGAACGAAAGAATCAAGGGCTTGTCTCCAGTACCGGGTCTTCCTGCTGCCTTTTTCAGAGCGTATCGTAGCAACGTCGACTTCCCAGAGCCGGGTTTGCCCTTGATCCAGAGCAGACCTCGATTGTCCTCGGCCTAGCCCGTATAGATTTTATGCCGAGACAGCCACTCGCACGTTCCTGCTCGGGCAGCATCGATATCGTTTAACCGATTGTCCATCTCTTGAAAGGCTAATGATCTCCAGCAATCCCGCACCTGGATCGGGGATTCACCTATGCCTACACAATCTGGCTAGTTTCGAAACTGCAGGCCCTTCCGTAAGTGCCATTCTCACCATAATACACGGTGTTATTCACCGTACCCCCAGGAGCATTGATCTGACTCCCATTTCCAAGCTTAGTATACGCTGAGATTTTGAAAAAATGGCTCATCGTGGGTCATCACCTATCCGAACCCAAATAAACAGAGTAGCAGGGGAAAAAAAAAATGTACGATGGCTTAACAATGTCGTGCAATTCAGCGGAAGAAGTGCCGAATATCGCGTGCCTTGCTCAGATACTAGCAGCCGGGACTCGACCCAGTGGTATGCAATCTTGACAGGGAGAGGCTTCCTGTAACCGAGACACACAATCAACCCCAGCCAAAGTATGGGATGCAGCGAGAAAGTTGCTTGAGGACATGTAAAAGCAGTGAAGCGCTTTGCTAACTGCGCGAACAAGAAATTGCGTCCTTGCCCTTTGAAAGCGGAAAGAACATACGCCGTAAGGCACCCACGTCGAGCAGAGAGGAGACCCATTTGGCACCTTTCTTTGAACACCCTTGGATAAAATGAATAGTAAGTTGTTGCAGTGCTAAAGGAGACCGGTCCAGGTCAAGAAAATGGGTAGCACGGACTGGGCCACAGCCAGCGCCGAGCCTGTATGATTGGGCTGTATGTATCTCTCATTGGCTGCTTCATGATAGCGGATTGGTGGCGGCGTAGGCCAACCAGTCAGTATGAGCCTTGTGTCTCCTAAATATGTTGCGTATAATCGACTCGCGGTGGGCGTCGAAGATTCGTAGTGGTGAGCTATTAATAAACGTCCAAAGCCGGTGAGTAGCCCGGTCAGCCAGCAGCAGAAATAGCAGCGGTCACACAGCTTTCCAACGAAATGAAAAATGAGGCTTTAGAATGGGCTCGACTCAGCCGAGATGTGTCAAGTGTGCCTTCCCTCCTGTCACACGAAAAGATACCAAGACATGGGCGTGGCCACGCTCTAGTATTTGGTGTGTTAGGCACAAACCCCCCCCCCCCCCCCTTCTGCGCCCCC